CTAGAAAATGTTCCGTGTACACTTGAGAAGAAAGTGTATTCTGCTGCTTTCAGATGGAATGCTCTATAAATATTAAGTTGATCTATTTTAATGTGTCATATAAGATCTGTTTTTCCTGATTGACTTTTGGTCTGGGTGATATTTCCATTGATGAAAGTGGGGTGTTAATGTCCCACACTATTAGTTTGTTACTGTAGATTTCTCATTTTATGGCTCTAGCCTTTAGTACCAGCTTTATATATTGAGCTGCTCCTATATTGGGTGCAAGTATATTTACAGTTGTTTTATCTTCTTGGATTGATCCCTTGATCATTGTATAGTGTCCTTTCTCTCTTAAAACAGTCTGTATGTATTTTAAAGTCTATTTTGTTTGATATGAGTATTGACATTGCAGCTTTCTTTTGATTTCTATTTACATGGAATACCTTTTTCAGTCCCCTGACTTTCAGTCTGTGTCTCTAGATTTGAAGTGGGTCTTTTGTAGACAGCATATGTATGTATGAGTTTCCATCCATTCAACCAGTCTGTCTTTTGGATAGAGCATTAAATCCATTTACATTTAAGGTAATTATTTATATGTTTTTGTTTTACTGTCTTTTCTTTTTTGGCCTTGCTGCATGGCTTGCAGATCTTAGTTCCCTGACCAGGGATAGAATCCACGCCATGGCAGTAAAGGCACCAAATCCTACCCACGCTACTGCCAGGAAACTCCCTTGTCATTGCCAGTTTATTAATTATTAAATTTGATTTTGTAGGTCTTTTCCCCCACTTCCTCTTTTTTTCTGTCATGATTTGATGCCTAACTTTAGTGTTGTGTTTGATTTCATTTTTCCTTTTGTGTGTGTGTATTTATTATTGATTTTCAGTTTGCCGTTACTGTGTTTTGATATAGTAGTCTATAAATGAGATTGTTTTTAGCATTTGTTGCATAGTTTGTTTGGTGGTGGTGTATTCTCTTAACTTTCGCATGACATCATGTGATTCCTTCATGAACTATGAATTAGAGCCTTTATGGGAAGCGTATCTTGGTTATGGGTTCTTTTCCTCTCATCACTGTAAATATATCATGCCATTCCCTTCTGGTCTGCAGAGTTTCTGCTGTAAAATCAGCTGATTTTAAAAAAATCAGCTGATAATCTTTCACAAATTCCCTTGTACATTATTCTTTGCTTTTAATATTTTCTCTTTAATTTTTGTCAGTTTGATTAACATGTGTCTTGGCATGTTCCTCCTTGTGTTTATCCTGCCTGGGACTCTCTGCACTTCCTGGACCTGGGTAATTATTTCCTTTGCCATGTTATGGAAGTTTACAGCTATTATCTCTTCAAACATTTTCCCAGGTCCTTTATCTCTTCTCCTTCTGACACCCCTTTAATGTGAATATTGGTGCTTTAAATGTAATCTCAGAGGTGTCTTAGACTGTCCTCATTTCTTTTCTTTTTTTCTCTATTCTCTTCTGTGGCAGTGATTTCCACCATTGTGTCTTCCCACTCACTCATCTGTTCTCTCGTTTATTCTGCTATTGGTTTAATCTAGTGTGTTTTTCATTTCACTTACTGTAGTTTGTCTCTATTTGTTCTTTAGATATTTTAGGTGTTTATTAAACATTTTTTCTTTCTTCTCAGTCTTTGCCTCCATTCTTTTTCCAAGACCTTGGATCATCTTTACTGTCCGTACTCTGCATTCTTTTTCAGGTAGATTGCCTGTCTCCACTAAACATAGTTGTTGTTCTTAGATTTTATCTTTTTCCTTCATCTGGGACTTATTCCTCTGCTGGTCTCATTTTGTCTGACTTCCTGTGATTGCGATTTCCATCCTGCAGGCTGCAGGGTTCATTTTTGCTTCTGCTCTCTGTCCTCTTGTGGATGAGGCCAGTCTAAGAGGCTTGTCCTGGGAATTCCCTTGTGGTCCAGTGGTTAGGAGTTCACACTTATACCATTGAGTACACGTGTTAAGTTCCTGGTTAGGAAACAGATTCCACAAGCCATACAGCATTGTTAAAAAAGAAAAACTATTTAACAGGCTTGTGCAGGCTTCCTGTTAGGAGGGACTAGTTCCTGCCAACTTGTGGGCAGAGCTGAGTCTTGTGTCTCTTTTACCGAGTCCAAGTTTGCTCTGGTTGCTATGACAGGCCAATTAACCGAGAGATGAGGTGTTGAGGCAAGGAATACGAGTTTATTTGGAAAGCTGGCAGACCGAGATGACAGACTAGTGTCTCCAAAGCCATCATATCAGGGTCTGGATGCCAGGTTCTTTTTATAGAACAGGGACGGGACAAGGCGAGGAAGTCAAGTAAAAGTTCCATTAATCTTGCAAGTATCTCCTGGAATAGCCAGTCTCGTGGAGAGGATGCATTAATTCCTTCCTGTAGCCATCCACAGGTGGACAGGGCCTGGAACAAAGGCATTTTGGTTTAACATTCCGGCAGTGGGGCAGGGTTCCCCAAGGCAGGCCACTATGTATGGACAGTATCCTCTTAGTGAACAAAAGCAATGGGAAGCAAAGGTTAAAGTAGAAGAAATAGATCCAACGTGGAGTCAGTTCTTCCCAGTAACAGTTGCGCACTGTCGATGTCCACTCCACAGTCTTGTAGAAAGGGGGCCATGACCATTCTAATTGCTTCCTGCTGTGTCTTGTCAGACAGATGTCTGTGGGAATGTCTGTCATCAGTGCCAGTGTTCCAAATGTTGCTTCTTTTGTTCCTATATGGGAAGTGTCTACCTTACACCTGTACACTTAAAAAATATTCACAACCTAAAAGTTAAGAATTATGTTCTTTTCCGTGGGAACTTTGAGGACTTAAGGCCTGAGAGGCAGCCCCTCAGGTAAAGAATTTAGCAACTTTTCTGTGTATGTGAAGATGCAAGAGTCAGGGCTCATTAAAATCATTTCCTTAACATGTACCTCAGGTATCTGGGGCCTATAATCCTGTATTCTCATATCCCGATTTTCCTCAGGACTCACCATAGCAAGTGGCTGAAGTCTGATGGCTGCTAGATGGGAGATATTCTTCTCCTTCCTGAGTGTCCTATGGCTCACCAGGTCATGTTGGGCAGGGGGCTGCAATCGCTGATGGCTGATATGGCAGGAAATAATTCCATTTCTCAGATCCTCCCCTCTTGGTCAGAAATTTAACCAATATTTGGGAGACATTTTATGATGAAATTTTGTCCGATGACACTGGGAGGCCCCTCCCAGATCAGGCAAAAGTACTTAATATGCCACTCCAGGTGCTAATTTTTGGATTCAGTTCAGTCGCTCAGTCGTGTGCAACTCTTTGTGACCCCTTGGACTGGAGCACACCAGGCTTCCCTGTCCATCACCAACTCCCAGAGCTTGCTCACACTCAACATCTATCAAGTCGGTAGACCCCCATCAATAATTAATGATTCTCTAGATCTGTCTAATTATGATCCAGGAGATATTTTCAATTATTATCTCTTCCCATACCTAGAACCACACTATTACAGTTATTTTATGTTATTAATGTGATGTATTCCCCTAAGATGTTTAGCCAGAGAAGTTTCTTTGGAGGCCTGTTTGCACACTTGGTACTATGATAGACAACTCATCTTATAAATGAGATAGGATATAAATAATGCAGCAAGCAACATTTACAAAGACATAATGCAGCAGGGAGACACAAAACACAAACATTTTGGAGAAAAGAAACAAAACAGTGATTCATGGAACTAGTTGTAGTCCAGTTGCAATAATCCGGCAATGGTCAAAAGTCAAACAAAGATCAGACATGGAGTCACTTCTGTCCTGGAAGACCTCTAGTGGGTAAGATCATGCGAATGGGTGTGTTTAGTGGGCACCTATGGGCTCAGGAAGACTTCATGCAGACTGTCTGCTGATGGGCAGGACTGTGTTCCCACCCCGTTAGTTGTTTGGTTTGAGGCATCCCAGCATTGGAACCTATAGGCTATTGGGAGGGACCAGGTTTCAGTGAGGAAATGGTGGCCTGGAGGAGGGCTCACACTCATGAATACTCTCCAGAACTACCGCTACCAGTGTCTTTGACCCCACAGTGAGCCATAACCACCTCCTGCCTCAGCAGGAGTTCCTCCAGTATTAGCAGGTAGGTCTAGCCCAGGCTCCTATGAGGTCACTGCTTTTCCGCTGGGTCCTGGTGGTCACAAGATTTTGTGTGTCCCCGCTGAGAGTGGAGTTTCTGTTTTCCCCAGTATTGTGGAATTCTTGCAATCAAATCCCATTGGCCTTCACAGCCAGATGCTCTGGGGGCTCCTACTCCCAATACCAGACCCCCAGGCCAGGGAACCTGATGTCGGCCTCTGAAGTTTCACTCCTGTGGGAGAACCTCTGTGATACAGTTATTTTCATTTGTGGGTCACCCACCTGGCAGGTACTGGATTTGATTTTATCATTCTTGTGCTCATCCTACTGTCTCCTTATGACTTCTTGTTTGTCTTTGGATATAGAGTATCTTTTTTGGTCAGTTCCAGTGTTTTATTCTCAGTGGTTATTCAGCAATTAGTTGTGATTTCAGTGTTTTCATGAACAGAGATGAGCTCACATCCTTCTGCTCTGCCATCTTGTCTCAACCCTCAATCAGAAATGTTTCCTTTTTTATAAATATTTTTTATGCCTTCTAGGTTTTGTGTTATACTTAGAAAGGCCTTTCCTTACTCAGCTTTTGTGTTTCTTGGTTTTGTTGTTGTTTTTAATCCCCCTATTCCTGAAACTTACATGGTTTTTTAAAAAATACACACATTTAAAGCTCTTACCCATCTGAAATTCTTTTTGGTATAAAGAATGAGCTGAAGATCCAACTTGGTTCTTTTACAGATGGCTGGCCAGTTGTCCCACACCACTTATTGCATTTTCCCATGCTGTTTTGAAATGCTTGCTTTGTTTTAAATTTCACTATCTAATTAACTCTGTTTCCTTGGCCAGAGGAATGGATTTTAACTTTACTAAGAGAATTATTTCTCCACCCACCTCTCAGCAAGCTGATACAAAATTCTTTTTCTCAGGATCCTTTCAAGTATAGCTATCCACCACTTGTAGATGATGATTTCCAAACACCGTTGTGTGAAAATGGGCCTATTGCCAGTGAGGATGAAGCTTCAAGTAAAGAAGATATAGAAAGTGATGGCAAAGATACCTTGGAGACAATTTCTAATGAAGAACAAACAACTCTTCCTAAAAAGGTAATTTTAACAAAAAAATTTAATAGAGACAAAAGATGTGATCTTGTCCCACCAGCTGGCTATGTGAGTTTAGATAATTCACTAAACTTGCTGCCCTTCTATATCTTGAAATGTAAAAAGAGGAAGGATGGCACTAGCTGACTGTTAGTACCACTACATTATATAAAAGGCTGATTCCATGCTTTGTATAAAAATTGGCAAAACACACCTTGGAAGAATCCTTTTATCCAAAAAATTTTTTATCTAAAATAAAAGTATCTTAAAACGTACCCTTGATCTACCCCCGCTTTGTCATTTTTAAAGCACACTGAGTTGTTATGTTTTTATATCAGGAACTTGATAGGATATAAATATATTCTATGTAGAAAAGATTTTAAAATACATAAGGGAGGGGAATTTCCTGGTGGTCCAGTGGTTAGGATGCAGTGCTCTCACTGCCCAGGGCCCAGGTTTAATCCCTGGTTGGGGAATTAAGATCCTACAAGCCATGCAGTGTGGCCAAAAAAACTAAAAAAGACTCTTAAGAGAAAGACCATGTTACATTTTCTAAAGGGGCTTCTTTATATAGTAGGCACTCAAATACAGGTTAATGATCTGATTATTATATCTAAATTATATATTTAACATATAGTAAACCTAGCTTAAAGATTATAATTTGGATCGAGTCACTATAATGCTTACTTTGTGACCTAATGAACTGCCTGTCACTGCCTGTGTGAAACTGAATTTTTTTTTATCTTTCTTCATGATATATATATAATTTGTCTTTAGGGTAACATAATGGAACCTATTTCCAAAGCAGATGAGAATGAAAAAGTTGATTCCAAAATGAAAACTTTCAAGAAACCACTGAGTGTGTTTAAAGGGCCCTTATTACACATCAGGTAATGGCTGAGGATTTTATTCGGTATGCTTTTGTAACATATCTTGATTGTTTTGAGAGAACTGCAAAGTTAAGAAAATTTCTGGACTTTTTTTGAAACTGTGGAAATATAAAATTAAGGGGTATCTGAAGTCTCACCTTGGTTTTCAAACATAGTGGATATTTGTAGCTACCTTTTTATTATTTATTCTGTTGAGTTTGTTTAAAAGGCCTTTATCCCACATCAGGTAATAATGAATACTCCTGTACTAACAACAAATCTGAATGACATACATTTTTCTCATTTTACTGATTGTGTTTGACTTGCATAAGTTTGAGATTGCCAGAAATGACACTGAAGTAGCCCTTTATTGATTTAACCTTCCAAAACTAAAACTGAACCAGAAAAATAGGATTGTTACCAAAGCCAGATTTCAGCACATCTCTATTTTTCTCTCCAGGGTGTTCAGTCCACAAAATTCAGTATCATTTCTTTATCACTATGTAGAGAGCTTTCTCACTAATGATGCTTTTGGTTCGTAAATCTATATAGCTTTATTTAACAGTGCTTTATCAACTATCTTTAGTAATGGCCTACTGTATCATTTTCTATCCTTTTACTTGAAACCTTTCTATATGACTGTTAAAGACTCATGAACAGTAGAGCCAGACATTTTAAAGATCAAATTTGAAATTCTCTAACTGACAAGATTGATTTGTTGACACATATTTTGATTACTGTTATATTTGGATTTATCTTCCCCATCTGCATGAGTGTGTATGTGGGGGCTGCAGGGAGGGAAACACATGTGCCTGTTCTCCTTTCCATGATTTTGCTTTGTCGTTTTCCCTGCTTCAGAATTTTTTTCCCCATTTTCCCCTCTACTAGTTTGCAAACTAGTTTTTTTTTTTTTCCCTCTGGAGGCCTGTCACAGCCTTAGTTCCTGGGCTACAACTATTGTGATATGGCTGGAAGAGCCAGCTAGGGAGAAAGCCAACTCTGCAGTGCCCAGCAGAAAATCACAGTGCTTCTCCTCCACAGACCCAGGGACCTAACCAGCCTCTGTCTCCCCAGACCTTTTCATGGTTTTTGTGCTGGGTACTGAGAGCAGTTGAAGACAGAAACTTCCTATCTTTTCTGTGGTATATTTCACATGGGTTTTTAAAGGAAACCAGCAGTCATGCCAATTTATGTCTTGTCCAAAGCTAGGCACAGCTCTCCAGGGAGAGCTCTTATTTAACAATGTGTGTTCTCTACATGAATAAATATCTGATATGCAGACATTCCTGATATAAAATGAGCCTGTTTAAAGATGGAGCTCAAAGTCAAGGGCTGTCTGGCGAACTCACCTTTTTATTTAAAAATCATAGTCCTTTGCACTGTTTGGAGAGGCTCCTGATGCAATTTAAATTTAGCTCATGTAATTAAATTACACAAACTTTGCTTGAGTCTTTACATTTTTATTTTAGATCCTGGGCATTACAGTGGCTAACAGTAAAAATTGCATTTTGAAGCTTAGTGATTTTTTGGCCAATTTTCCTGTAGTTCCCACAGCAAATCTTATGTTATACTCCTTCCATGTTGCTTAGAAAAAAACTATATATAGTCAGGAATTATTCTGTTACTTAAATATATCTCTGACTTTTTTAAGTTGGTGTATAGAATGGTGCCCCATTCTAATGTTTGTAATTAGGTAAAGTTGAAGTGGCAATTTCTTTTCTGGTTCTTACCTGTCACCTGCCAAAGAGTTTCAGTAAATAAACCTGAAGATGGTGCTGGTTATGGGACTAATTTAGAATCCTCCTAATTCTCCCTTCTGTTCCTGCCTATTTTTCTTTTAGATCTTGGGGGGAAACCATAGGACTTTTCAAATAGCATGCATTCATTCAGTCAGTAAGATTAAAATACAAAAAATGTATTAGGTAATTGTTTTGTAATCTTCTTTAATACAAATGGGCATAACCAGATATTTTTCTTCAAGCTGATGATTAGGTTTGTCATTTCTTCTGAACAATACCAATGCCTTATGCTTTTATTACCACATAGCCCAGCAGAAGAACTGTATTTTGGAAGTACAGACTCAGGAGAGAAGAAGGCTTTGATAGTGTTGACAAATGTAACAAAAAACATAGTGGCATTTAAGGTAAATATCTGAAAGATAATTTATAAGTTATGTGTGGAAATTGAAAGATTGATAATTTTAAGCTTGCATGTTTTTATTTATGATATTTTTAGGCTTGTTAAACTGCCTTTTAGCTCTGAGCTTATCTAAAATGTTCCCTTGAGGTCTGTATCTGTCTTTAATATGCAGTAATAGGGTACTGTCCAAATTAGTCCCAGGGTTTAATGTTTGTTATTTAAAAAAAAAAACAAAAATCCTTTTTTCATTATATGAATAATAAGTAAGAGTGAAAAATAAAGCTATAAAATCAAAAGTGCATTTCCCCCCAAGTGTGGTATATTCTGGAGGGTAGTTTATACTGAATACTAACCTGATGCTGAGCAGTAAGGAGAACAGGACTGAGCCCACTATTACCCATATGGTAGGTTTTACTTCCTTAAATCATCTTCTTTCTGGATATCCTTTGATTATCTAATGTTTTAAAATTTCTAAACACTGTTGTAACATGTATTCTAACGTAGGATGTGTTTTTGAATATGAAATATTTATCCTGTTAACCACCTGAATTTAATAATTAACAGTTGGGCTCATTTTTTTAATTTAAGAGGAAGGCTCAGTGACAGTTGGACTGATGAATGCTTCTTCCCAATAAATTGAGGTGCTTTTTACCTGTTGATGGGAAGAGATACATTTTAACTACCAAGGTGGTTTTATGGACTTTATTAACTGGTTTTTAAAAGTCATTTTTAAACCATTTCCCCCCAAAGAGCATGAAAGTTATTGTGACTACTGTCTTTATAAACAGGTGAGAACAACTGCTCCAGAAAAGTACAGAGTCAAGCCCAGCAATAGCAGTTGTGACCCTGGTGCATCAGTTGATATAGTTGTGTCTCCCCATGGCGGTGAGTTGTCGCCTGAGTGGCTGCAGCAGGGTATTGATGGGGGACCTAGGGCTGGGCAATGAGTCAGCAGAGCTCGACTGGAATCCCCAAACTGGACTGTCAGCAAGTCACCTCACCGTACTCCAGCCAACTGTAAAACCAGATGGGTGAATGAGTCTCATTAAAAAATTGAACAACTAAACTTGTTGAAACTAATGCCAGCTGAAATTGAATTTCAAACCACAGAAGTCCTCATCTTTATAGGAGAGCTGCCTGTTTTACAATAGTTCCATATTCTTTTTCCTTAGTGTTGTTTTCTAGAACAATGCCTAAACCACATGCCCAACCCTTTGTAAAGGTTCCTGTTTATGTATTAACTTGCCCTTTTGGAATGCAGGTTTAACAGTCTCTGCCCAAGACCGTTTTCTGGTAATGGCTGCAGAAATGGAACAGACATCTGGCACGGGTCCAGCAGAATTAACTCAGTTCTGGAAGGAAGTTCCTAGAAACAAAGTGATGGAGCACAGGTATACTTTTTGACTCATAAGCTCTCAAACTGCAATGGGAAAAATCCCAAAGAGGGATGTGTCTACCTGGGCTAGGCAGGCATTCCTTCGTTCTTGCACTTGGCAGACACTAGGCTTTCATTGTGGGCCCCAACTGCTGAAAGGCTCTAGGGTGCCCAGGTGAATGGCACCTGGAGTGGCTCTAGGATTGCTAATAGCAGAGACTTGCTGGCAGGCTAGTGCAAGATTCTGGATGTGTCAAAATTACAAGCACAGGTATTTCTCTTCCAGCAGTTAACCTTTATAGGAATGCTCACCTCATGTACCAGAATGTTTGCTGCAGCATTGTTTGTACTAGTGAAAAATGAAAAAGAGCCTAAATGATCATCAGGAAAGTAACAGTGAAATGCATTTGAGAATAGCCACACTGAGGAGTACTCTGCAGCCATTCAAAAGACTGTAGTATGTCTATTTGTTCTGACACAGGAAAAAGACATCTGAAATAGTATTAGGAAAAGAAAAGAACCTGCTCACAGAAAAATGTGTGTGACAATTAGCCTATTTAAGAGGAGAAAACCCCGTGACTGTATAGGCATATTACACATGTACATCTGTGCGTGCATGCATGCAAGTCTTTTACATCTTAAAAAGATGTATAGGAAAGAGAAGGTTGGTTATGGGTCTTTTTTTCCTGCCGTGTGCCCAGTTTTGCCCCCCAAGGGACAGTTGTTTGTCATACTGGAGACACTGTTGAGGTCATAACTGCACAGTGGGATGCTGTGGGCATCTAGCAGGTAGACAGACACCAGGGATGCCACTCAGTGTTACCCCTCTGCACCCACCCCCCCCCACCCACTGCTGAAGAATGGTGCAGCCCAGAAGGTATTGAGGAAGCTCAGTTGAGGATAGTTAAGATGGCCACTCTGATGACATTTGAGTAGGATATGAAGGAAATGAGAGAAAGCCACATAGATAACTGGGACAAGAGCTTTCCAGGTAGAGAGAACCACAAATGAAAAAGCTGTGTTCCTGGCCTGTGTGAGGAACAGTAAAGTCATTGGAGCCTGGATCAAGTAAGGGGGCAGCAAGAAGCCAAATCATTCCCATAGTGAGAACTGCTGGTTCTGAGAGGGGAGACCGTTACCTGGTGCTGAGCAGAGCCATGAGGTGAGTGACTTACCTAAAGGATTACTCTGGGAGGCTGTATAGAAAATAGACTGTGGGCAGACATAATATTAACGCTTAAATAGAACCTCCTATATGCTAGTACTGGTGTAAGTGTGTTACTCATATTTATTCATTTAGTTACTAGGACAACTCTGCGTACATGCTTAGTCACTTCCATCGTGTCCAACTCTTTGTGACCCCTATAGACTGTAGCCCACCAGGCTACTCTGTCCATGGGATTCTCCAGGCAAGAATACTGGAGTGGGTTGCCATTTCCTTCTCCAGAGGGTCTTCCTGACCCAGTATTGAACCCGTGTCTCTTAATGTCTCCTACACTGGCAGGTGGGTTCTTAACCACTAGCACCACCTGGGAAAGTTAGGTATAGGTAATTATTGTTCTCACTTTATAGACAAGAAGCTGGGAAGTCTATTAATGGTTGTGGTTGATTTAAATCTACAAAAATAGAGGAGGTTATATAACACACATGGCGGGAACAGAATGTGAGAGGACCCATACATACTAAGAAAGACTGCTGGAGAGGAAGCAGGGCCCAGAGGAGGAGTCTGGTCACCTTTGTAAAACCACAGGGAGAACACTGACGTGATGTGAAATGCCTTGGACGAGATTACCATTTTCAGGTCATTCATAGGTAAGAGAGCAAGAAAAATAAGAAAGGGTCTAGAAAGACAAGCTGTATTTCCACTAGGCTAGGTCTGACTTTTCCCCAGTGAAAGAGGGTAAAAGTTACAGTTAGACCTAGCCTAGAGGAATATTTAGTGGCCAAACAAAGGAGGACAATACAGGGAGTCAGGAGGGAAACCAGTAAGTGAGCTGCACCCTCAAAACCCAGGTTAGAGTATGTTTCATGAAGGAGCAAACAGCTACCAGTGTCTGTCAAAGATGACGTGTGAGTGGCGGCCACTGCTGATGACATCAAAGAGTTCCTTGATGACCTCACGAGGATCAGTTTCAGTTGGCAGGAATCAACTGCCCAAGAAACATAGGTAATGAGTCTCCTGAAGGTTTGGCTTATTTAGGTGGGACCAGGGTCATCTTTAGAAGGACGAATGTGTTATGTTTGGGATTTTTAGTGGGAGTTGTTTGAGCACTGTTTAAAACCACGGTAAGAACACTTTTAGAAGGAGAAGCTGACCTTACAAGGTAAATCACTGACCATGAAATTCCTGAGAAAGAAGGAACAAAACCTAAAACCCAGGTAGAGGTCAGCCTTAAGTCAAGAGGAAGAAAGGAACACAGATCCTAGATAAGGCTCATGCTGGTTGTGATGTGTTTTTAAATAGAATATTTATATATTTAAATTTCAAGTTATATTAGGCCTACTTTTGAAGTGCTTATGAAACCATACCTTAAAATTACTGGGTTTTTTCCCTAGTCTTGTTACATATGAGTTGTTTTGTTATCTTATTTTGTAAATCAGTTCCTAATGGCTTGCTGTTCTATAACTGTCAAAAGACAATCCATCACTTACAGAAACAGGGAGACTTGGTGGTTTAGTACGGAAGGCCAGGTGAGAGCACTGCTTCCCATATAGAAAGGGTGGTTTCCTTCAGATCCTAAGATTGGGTGAATTCTATTGAATACTTTATATAAAAGAAAACTTCTCATAGGTTATTGAGGACTGTGTGTAATTGTGTTCTTTGATTATGCAATAAAGCTAGAAGATGTAGGAAAGGAAAAATAATTTCCCCTCTACCCTTCTAAGTTCTTGGCTGAGACCCACTATATAAAAGACAGATGAACAGGAGAGAAACAGAAGTTTCATAACATGGATACCTCCTGTATATGTGGGAGAAACCGAGGAAAACTAAGTAACTCAGCCAAATGGCTCAGGCCATCACCACCTCCAGCTGAAGACCAAAGAAAGCCAGTTCTGAGATGCTGTCAGGGAAAGCACAGTAAACATGGGTAAGTAAGGTTATTGTGCCAATTGAGGCAAATTCCTCTCTTCTTGAGGTCCCCAAAGTATCCTGAGGTTCCTGAGCTTGCCAGGAAGTGACTTTCCTTACCTAGTAAGGCTCTCTGAAAACAAGGTACCAGGTGAGTTTTTTCCCCAAGTGTCTTTAGTTCCTTACAGCCATCTGGTCTTACCTGCTTTATGCATTTCATTTTCAATAGGACATTTGAGTCATCAACCTTGATAATATAACCATGTCTCCAATTGTGCCCTGTTACAAGGGGAACAGATTCTCATTGAACTTAACGCAAATAACTGTATCACCATGAAAATGAGAATACCACTAAGTGTTTCCAGATTTTGGAGGGATCAGGTAGGGAAAAACATTGTCTCAAGTCTGCTTACAAAGGCATAATCCACCAAATTGCAGTAAATCACAGATACCTTAAGAGAAAAAGTTTTCCTTAAGTCTGGAGAAACAAAACATTCTATTTCTAACCAAAAGTCATAAAAATTATAATCATTTACATCAGCTTCATTCAATTCTGTTATTAATTTTTGTTCTGCTTGAGTCCAATTTTTCCATTAGTTCTGGAAATTCCTACCCAGTTCAGTTTTATAATCAAGTTATCAGAAACCTGAATCCTACAGTATTTGTCAGAGTCCTTTTTGTGGGTCTCTTTGAAGATGAAACATGTATCTCTACAAATACAATCAAGAGGGTTTAGTATTCTTATTTGACAATGTGTATCACGTAATTTGGGGCTTCCCTGGTGGCTCAGATGGTAAAGAACCTGTCTGCAATGCGGAAGACCTGGGTTTGATTCCTGGGTCAGAAAGAGCCCCTGGAGAAGGAACGGGTAACCCACTCCAGTATTCTTGCCTGGGAAATCCCATGGAGAGAAGGGCCTGGCAGGCTACAATCCATGGGATCACACACAGTCGGATAGGACTGAGCAACTAACACAGCAACTAACACTTTCACTCACATAATTTATCAAATAAGCCTAAGTGGTTTAATATATTTTTATAATGAGAGAAAACACATCTTTCCACAGAGGCCCGTGGAAAATCCCAAAGTTAGTTAGAGGTCAAAAAGATTTCATTTAGAATTTGATGTTGGGAAGTTTGTCAAAAAATATCAAAAGGTTTTGGACACTTGACTAAATAGAATCATAAATTAATATGGAACAATACTTAAGTATCCAATTAACCGAAGTGACAGTTAAATTTCGAAGGCAAATACAGATGGTCACATAGTTGTGACCAAAACTTAGCTCTTAATCTTTAAAAGACTGTTTGCTAAAGTAACCAAAGACCTGATGATAAAGATAACTAGAAGTACAGGAAATCATTTTAATACAATCTAAAATCTTTGATTTCTAGGCAGATTACTTAGAAAGGGTAAAGAAAAACCTTTAACAATCTCCTATCAGGGGCAGACCAGTAGTCTATAAAACTGTCCTTTAACCAATAAATGAAAGAAAATTTTGTTTTACGTAATTAGACTATTGACATTAAGCTTATTTTTAAAACTCTTAAAACAGTTCTTCAATTTTAGCCCTCTTGACTACACAAGGTAACATTTTCTGTTCCTCTCTCTTCCCAGCTTTCTACATGCCTTTAATTTGTCCTTTATTCTCCTACTTTCTATTCTGAAATAACTAGTTTTACTTTAGCATATAACTACTTTCACTTCTCCTGGTCAAAAATATCCTAACTCTTGCATATAGTTATTATACTTATTTCTAGTATTATAATTTTCATAACTCTTGGAAACTAATTTCTAGTGAAAACAAGCACTTGTAATCTGTTACACCAGCATTCTTTAAACTGGAAAATTTATGAATATAGTTCATAATTTCTAAAAACAGATGTTTCCTCCTAGTATAGCTTTTTAACATGGCACAAGATATGACTATGTCTTACATATCCAAATATCTTTCATTCTGTACTAAGAAGCCCAAAGTAGATAAACCTATGTTTAGTAATGTTTCAGTATTTTATCTTATTTGGAAATGACCTAGATACTCAATTAATTCCCTATCATTTAACTTAGCAAAACTCTAAACTTTCAAGTAATCAAAGATATTTAGAAAACTATTTTTAAGAGATATAAAACATCCTCAGTGCTGAAAAGCTCACCTACAAACTTTTATCCCTGTGACTTGTTAGGTCAAGTGATTTAGATAGAATTGTTCAGTTTACTCATAAAAACATCAAGGCACAGTGTCAGCCATCATCCCAAGGTGTTTTTCTTGCTGACAGATTTTGTAACAGAGCTAACATGAGCTTTTTTGAGAAGTAAGTTCGGGTAGAATAAAAGTTGCATCTCTCATTGTATTCATCTTGATAACTCTGAAGATCTGCCTGTTGAATTAAACCAACAAACTTAACCCAGCTTTTTATTTACCAAAAATTATCCCAGATCATGTGAACTTGAAAAAAAAATTGGGGTTTCTATATTTGAGAGTTCTAGGAATATTTAATTTGAAAAGCACTTCTTTTTCTTTATGTCAATTAAATGTAACTTTTATGAATTAGTTTTTACAGTACCATTCAGAGATAGAAAAATACCACACATTTATTAACACATATATAAACACATGTAAACGTACAGATGCAAACAGAGACCTTAAAGCTTTGGTTCCAAAATTTTAGCCCTGATTTTTGGTACAGTAACAAAAAATCTCACTAGCTTATAAAAGAACAGGTGAATCCAAATTGTGTTTCTGGCAGTTGGAGTAAGTTTGCCTGCTCAGGGTGCTAAGATATTTTTTTTAACTAATATATATATACATGTTTCTTCATTTGTCCAGTTTCAAAATAGCTCCTTTTTTGCCTTCTGATGAGAATCATTTTCCGAGAATTTGCATTTCTAAGAGCTGGCTATCAGGTCCTAAAGAAGGTGGGGATAGAAAATTTACATCACAAAGGCACAGAGAAAGTGTCTTAAGTTTTTTGCCTGGAGTTTTGGAGGTACTTTGCCTAATATCAGAGGTTTAGAGTAATTACCATTTAAAGTTTTTCCAAATACAGAACAGTTCCATTTCCAGTGTCCTGGTCTTTTACAATGCCTACAGGTATTTTGAGATAGTAATAAATAGGGCAGGTTTTCCAACTGGTTAGGATAGGTGAACACTGAATTGCTTCTAGAGCTGAATTTCTGGCTTTGTAAAGATTTGCAGGACAAAGACAGTTGCTTTTAATGCCTCAAAAAATTGGATTGAAGCCTGAATGATATCAAGGGACTGACCTGCCCATCCAACTACATTTTCTTCAATTTGCTTTATATCAGGGAGAAGATTTCCAATTAAGATGGAAATCAAATGATTTCTATGTTCTGGAGTTTCAGGGCTTAATGCTTTACAGAGTTCAGATAAAGCATTCAACAAAGGCCTTTGAATGCTCTTTTTCTGAGTGTACGATTCAGCCTTGGACTCAGCCTTGGACCAATTCACCTTCAGGGAGCGGGTAGGGGAAGCCCTTACTATTGCTTCTAACAGCCTCTGAATATTGGTTTATCCATTTCCTGATACTTTGGGAGGAATTGTGGTCATATTTCCTGTGTGAGTGTGCCAGTTTCCCCCCGGGGGCCATCTGGTGTATCTGACAACTACAGTATAATTGTGGATGTTAAGAACAGCCAATCAAGGTCCCTGGGAGCGGGGAACTGATCTTTTTAACTCTTCTCTAAATTTGATAGATTTGTTCTAAAAGTGGAGGTAAAAAGAATTTTGTCATTTCATCTTGCTAAGGATGTCCCTAAGGCTGACTACCATACTCCTTTATGTCCTCCTTTCAAGTTAGTCTTTCCCTAGATAGCAAAGAAGGTAATTGTTTAGGATGAGAGCTCTGAAACACGTTAAACGCAAAAGTTTCTCCAATTCAAAAGATCCATCATTTGGCCATTGACAAGTAACATCTTATATTACTTTCAATAGCAACCCACACCAATAAGCCTCTTGATGACTTAACCATGGATGCAAGAGGCAGCCTTCACAAAATTCAGAAAGCTCACTTGCAGAGTTAGCTTCAGGAAGCCAAGATGTTCACTGTCACAGGTGCTAAGGACAGTGTCATAAGAAGTGTCTCCAGTTTCCCACAAGAATGTGATAATGCTTTCAGTTACAAACCTCCTCATCTGTGACACCGGCTGGGCGCTATAGGAACAGGACTTTTCCCACACTAAAGGACGCAAGGTTGTGAGGACAAGGGCCCTTTATGCCAAACTCCCACAACAGCTGGAAGGATCAGAGAAGGCTGCTTATCACTTTGTGTCTCAGATCCCCGGCCTATGTAGTTGGTCGTGAGATGCATGTAGATAAGAGCATCATTTAGCTGGCAGCGATCAGAGAGAATACTCTCAATGGTCAAAGCCAAGCTCTCAAGACAGAATGAAACAAAAGCAAAGTCTCACCTGTCCTGTGGTTCTCCTTATGCCGAACACCACAAAAGACAGAGAGAAAACAACGACCATCTCTGGGAGGAAAGAGGACCAGTAGAAAACAGAAGTCCTGAAAACAAAAGTCTCTACCAGAGTGACGACACCTAAGGAACCAGCTCAAGATAAACCTCGTGTGCCACAGAGGCATATTTTGAGGGGGTGACAGATTCTGCTGCCCTTCGAAGATACACACTGAACGGCTCCCTTAGGTATCTCTGGGCAGACAAGTGAATGCTTTCACCGCTGTGACACACACTTCTGTGTTTACTTTTTGTCACCTTATATTTTACTTTTTAAAAAATTCATTAACAGCTTCAAGAAGTTGTGTTTCCTTTGGATTTTCATAGGTTAAGATGCCATATTGTTGAGAGCTGTAAACCATCCAGTCTTACATTGAAAGATCACGCCTTTAACATGTCAGATAAAACCGGCGAAGACCTCTACCATCAGGTAAGTGTTCTTTCTTCCCAACTAAAACAAAGTCCTTAATCAATATTAGAAATCCATTTTTTCCCCACTGACATAAGGAAACCTTTTGTCATAGACATGACAGAAACGCTCTCCTCTTTGTGAAGGGAAGCCAGATCAGAAATGGTAAGCAGTGAGTTACTTTCAGAGAGCTGTTTCTTTCTGAAAGCTCTGTACTTTCTGAAAGCTCATCGAAAAACATGATCTCTGGGAAAAGGTACCATGTAGTGCATTTACATTTGAAAAAGGTAGAGGGCCTCTTTCTGAAGAGCTGGTTTCAGTACCTCCAGGAAATGATAGCGTCGCTCCTTTCTCAACTTGAAAATTAGACCTTTTCAAAACAAGAATAAAGAGAGGCACATCTCCTCACCAGCCAAGTCTAACTCCTCATTGCCTTTCCATCCCAGCCTCTCAGAGTGCATGGACTCTCTCCCGTACATGTTTGTGGGGTTGCTAATATTCGTTTGGCATGCACATGATTAATGTACTGTTGTATTGATACAAACCTTTCATCCTCTCTTCCCTCTTCAGCTCAATCGTTTGGTAGAGAGCACTAGGAAGCTTGAAGACCAAGTCCAACGATGTATCTGGTTCCAGCAGCTGCTGCTTGCCCTAACTGTGCTCTTGCTTGCTTTTACGGTTTCTTTTTTCTATCTGTTGTACAGTTAAAGAAGTGGGCCTTAGTGGGAGAAAGTAAGACTCAGAACTTCACCACCATGCTCCAAGTGTCGCACATCTGTGCTCCCACCAAGATGTACGGCATTTAGGGGCAAAACTGAAACATTCTTGAAATAAACTAGTAGAATAAGCAAACACTGAAGAGACTGATTATGAGAGTCTATAGGTACTCAAGTAAGTAAAGGCATATCTGTTGTGTGACTTAATAGTTTAGAGATAATTTATTTTCCCCTCCTGATCTGAATACTTTTAAAGCTCGTTTTATCGTGTGTGTATATATATATATATAATATATGTATATTATATATATATATATGTTAGCTGAACAGAAAAGTACCATGCTTTGTTGCAGCCAAAAAAGTCATCTGCTTTTTTTTTTTAACACAGTTGTTATAGCTGAGCCAACTTAGTTTTTCTATACTGTGTATATAGAACAATGTATATTGGGGAAAAAAAAAAGATGTACTTATACAGAGTCATTTCTGTAACCAGGACTTTGTCATTTTGAGAACTACTAACACATGCTAGTTGATGTTCTTTTGGAATGTACAACTACTTAATGCCAAACCACCTTCAGCCTTTGTTTCCTATCCGTCTTCCTTAAAGGCCTGCCTGCCTTTTATTAATCTCAGACTTTGTATTGAACAATCACACTCTCATTGCGGTAGGACTGTGGAACTAAGTCTGGTTGGATTTTCTCTGAAATCTGTCAGTAACATCAGGAAGGCGAACTCTCCAGTCTTTTTTATGCAGTTTCATGTTGCTCTCTGGCTGGACACACACCTTTTTGCTTCACCTATTATAAAGGCCTAATCCTCCATTGGACCATCTTCACCTTCTTTTCTAAATGAAAGGAGTTAGATAAACATATTTTTTGAAAAGTTATTTTTGAAAAAGATGCCTAGCAGTATAATTCATTTACATTTCAGTTTCTTTTAAAATCAGGCATGAGAGGGGAACTTGACAAAAGACTGGAGTATTTAAGAGGGTGGAAAAAAAAAATGAAACCTAGGTTGTCAGTTCTCTATTTAAGAGTGAAAAATATTACTTGATGATCAACTGTGCAACCTTCAGACCAAGGTTAACTGACTTGATCTTCCACCTTTGTCACAGCAATACTGAGGACAGTTCCTCAATTCCTAACATGAAACACCTCGCAGGAGCAGAGCCTAATGCAAGTAGTTTGTTTTCTCATCAATATAACCAGCTCGGGTCCCTGTTGGTTCACATGTAAATCTACTTTATATGAAAGACAAAAAATAGTCTGTAAAATAAATTTTGAGTTGTGATTGAGCCACGTTTGGAGAATGTTTTATTCTGAAGTTGTAGTGTTGGCGGCTTTCATCTTGAGAATTTCATGAATCCAAAGTGGCATTATGAAGAATGAAGAGAGACTGCCTTCAAAATTGGCCTAGGAATAAAGCCTTGAATGGACACTGGTCTGATCCTTTGTCTTAATTTGGGTTTTTCTGTTTCAGTTTGCCACCTCCAGAAGTGAAAGTGACCGCAGTCCACCCTGAGTACTGTTCATAGTTTCTCCCTGTGTGTCCACAGCGGTTTCCCCTTACATGGTAGATCGCTGGCTTTACCATAATCTAATTGTCTGTGTTTTGTTCTTCGGCAAATAAATGTGGAAATAATTAGTCAAAATTGGAAATGTACTGTCCTAACGGTGTCCCTTTAATGTTTCACGTGAAAATTACATCAACTCACTAAAATGTTTTTCCCTGATGTCTGGCCAGTTGAATTTAATAACATATCTTGTTAACATTTGTGTGTCTATTAAATGTGACTAAGCAAAATGTACTGAAAATTAACCATAAAATCAAAGGCATCTAAACTTTTGTACTTGTCTTGATTGGTTACATATATTTATATTTGATTTTATTCTGTCTTCCTTTGATTTTATTTAATCACATTTGTATGATTATTTTGAGTAATCTATAATTATTTTTAATATGTCATTACCTGTTTATGACCAGATTACCAAGGACCAACATTTAGATTGTTTTCACTTAGGAATGGAAATTCATAGAGTTTCCATGAAAACATTAATGAAGTATCATTATAGGCAAGTAGCCTAAAAATACAATTGCTGGTAAACCTAGCCTCAAATTTCATAATATACCATAACTGTTTTTATATCTTGCCACTAATTTTGACTGGATTTAATAGCACTTTATTGTACAATTGCGAAAAAAAATATATTCCTAGAATTGTTGCCAGTGTAATTTCTCTAATGTTCTGGTGCTTTTCATATATTTTCAGTATTTTTATTACTATATTGGTATTTTCTTTGTATAAATTGATCAAAAGAACATGCTTTCTATTTTAATATGTTTTAGAAAAATAATTACATTTATGCAATAAATATCATCAGGAAAAACCTCTGGTCTCTAATTCATAAAGCATCTTAAAAAATCAATGCTCAGGCTCACACTGACCTTTCAAAGATCACATTAATTTCTCCTGGACCTGCTTACCTTTTTATTAAGGAGGGTACTGCAGAATTCCAAAGACAATCGTGTTTTCAGGAGAACCCGACCTCACTGTATCCTGTTTCTTGTCGCCCAGGGTCAGGGTCTGCTCCTCGGGGCCGCTCTCCATTTTCCTGCCTCAGCATTGGCCTCACTGTCACAGCTGGGGCTCCATCATTGAATCTACCACTAGAGCGGCCACCCAAATCACAATTGCCCCACATCCCCCGTCCTAGTACCCACACACCTGCCTGGCTGCCAGGGCACATGGCAGAAAGTCCCTGTGAGAAGGCATCAGAGTGGCTGGGGGTGGGGGATAGCCCTGGATGGGAACCACAAAGGCCCTGGGGAGTGTGTGGGCTCCTCGCCATTGGAAAACACAACTCCCAAGTGCAGCTCCATAAAATAGAACTAAAAGAACAGGTCCATCTTCTAAACTGTAAAAGAGATGGAGATAGAAAACCACCTGTGAAATTAAAAATAGAGCCACTAAGACCAGTAGTAACCCACGAGGGAGCCCCATACCTACCTGGGACAGTGAGGGTGTGACCTTTCCCAAAAGACACAGTTTTCTAGGGAACAGAAGAGCTAGAAAAGGATCAGTTACTTTACAGCAACCCAGGTCTCTCTAGATTTTTACTAGCAACTTGAGGTTTCTTGATGTCAGCACCACATGGGTCCCCAGAAGCACAGGGCTCCCCTTTTTCTCCCTGGACCAAGAGCACAGAACGGAAATCCCATCTGTCTCGACTGGGGCAGGGGTAGCCAGGAGTGAGGGTTCTGAACCAAGACTACCTGGGTTCCAGTCCCCTCACTGTCATTTGATCCCTGTGTGACTCAGGAATGTTCATTAACCTTTCCGCCTCAGTTTCCTCATCCCCAAGTGACTGTGATCATCAAAGCACTGTTTCCCAAGAGGAGTGTGAGAAGGAGGAGATCTTGCATTTAAAGCTGCCCTGGAGAGGCTTGCCTGGCTCTGCTGATGCTGCCTCCACCACCTTCCTTCCCTGCCCCCAGAGCTTTTCACAATGGGGTTGGTCTTTCTGAATATCCCATCTCACTCAAAGCCACACATCAGTGCCCCAGACTTTTTCCGTTTTGTTCTATCCCTTTCTTGCTCCATCATTGAATTCTGCTTTCCAGGTGAAGGGACACATGGAGAAAGCCAGTGAAGATCGGCTGCCTTGAACCCCGTGAAGGAGTATCCCCCACCAGTCAGGAAGACTTGTTTTGACGCTTCCTTCCACCATGGCACCCAGACCCCTCAAAACACCACACCCACACCCTAAACTGATACCACAATATTCCACCCAGAACAGTTTCCCCCTGTATTTGTAACAATTCCATAAATATATCACATAGGATCTTTTATATCTTCATGACAATTCCATCTTTAACACTGACTATAATTACTTCCCCATAATGTCCGAAGATCCTCTTCCTTACCCCTCTCAGGTCCCCTACCACACTAATCTCTGGCACATGTTAAAATATTAGAGACAACCGGTTCAGCTGGCAAGAATATAAAGGAACATCTCCCTGACCCACAGAAATGAGATCATGCACACTTGGCTGAGCTTTCTTTCAAGTCTTTCTAGATTTGAGAATTTGAGTGATGCTTGAAACTACCAGTTGTTCATGTTCCTTTGTTTGAACAGTGTGAGAAGACATGATAAGATCTTGTGTTTTACAGATATGGAAACCAAAAGCCTGAGAAATCACCCTTTTTCCCAAGGTCACAGGCTAGTTGGTTTCAGAGCCAAGAGTTGAACTATTCTCCCAAGTCCACTGCTTGTTGCAACCACTCAAAACTGTCTTGACTGAGTAACAGGTTACCATATCAAAGGACAGGTCTGAGAATTCCACATTCCCTAAACAGCAAGAGAGGAAAATGAGAGAAGATAGCTAACTTGAGAAGCAAAGTTGACAAAACACAAATAACCACTCAAGACCCTTGGCTGGAAAAGTTTCTTGGTATTCTAAGCTACAGACAGACCTTATTGAAAAAGATTTGAAAGGTACAGGTTAATGTCCTGTTTACTTTGATGGAGGGCAGTGCTGTGCCTCATGAACTTTCAGAGAGGTTTATCCATCAGTCTATAGAAGGGCATCTAACAGGGTTTAGCTACTAGTTGTCTCAGCCATAGTCTAGTCACCTCAATGAAATCAAATCATGTTAAGTTTTCTATTAAAAATAAAGTGAAAGTGTTAGTCACTCAGTCATGTCCGACTCTACGACCCCACAGACTGTAGCAGCCCACCAGGCTCTTCTGTCCATGGGATTCTCCAGGCAAGAGTGCTGGAGTGGGTAGCCATTCCGTTCTTCAGAGGATCTTGCCAATCCAGGGATCGAACCTGGGTCTCACATTGCAGGCAGATTCTTTACCATCTGAGCTATGGCCATGTAACAAATTATGATGAACTCAGCATCTTAAAGCAACCCAGATTATTTCCTAGTTCACATGGCCGAGTCTGGTACACCCTGGCTAGGTTCTCTGGATAACGTCTCACAAG